TATATATGAGAGGCCAATGGGGGACGAAATGATATACATGATAATACATGTACATGATATAGGAAAAAGTAATAATGAAGCCCACTGTTTTGTATAATGAATGCAGGCTAATTCAGTGAGGCATTTCTCCTGTTCCAAATCCAACCAGACCCTGTTGGACTCAGTCTTAAATCCCTGGCACCTTCTTCTCTGACAGCATTAATTTATCAGAAGTAACTACAATATGGGGTTCACCAGTTTGTCTCTCCCTCTGAGAGGTACTGTATCTGCTCTGTTGTCCCTCAAATCCTGCATGGGCACCTGTGGGTCACAGCACATGACTCCAAGTGGCACTCTAGGCTCACAGTCAGCCCCCATTCCCTGTCCACTGCCTGCGGGGGGAGGCGGCAGATTTTGTGTTTAAAATCTCAAAGTGAAGAGGAACTGAAATGGAACACAGCTGGTCCTCGGAATCAGTGTTGTACATCTGTGGACTCAACTGACCACAGACTGAAAATACCTGAAAAGAAACAACACCCGCACTGAACACGTACAGACCATTCTGGTCCCTAACCAATGCAGGATAGAAACTATGTGCATAGCATTTCCAGGGCATTAGGTAGCTACAAGTCACCCAGCGGAGTGCAAACACTCCACGATTTTATACAAGGGACTTGAGCATTCATGGATCTGGGTGGCCTATAGAGAAGGTTCTAAAACTAAGGGGGCAGTTGTACAAGTATGTCCTTGCCTAAAGCTACCAATATTTTAAGTTCCATAACTCACAAAATAAATACCATTTAATCCTTTGACCAGTTTGGGCCACATTCTGACACCTGCAAATGAGAGTCCTAACAGAAGAGGTAACCATTTGGTTGATGTTAATTGTCAACTTGACACAATCTAGAATCACCTGGGAAGAGTCTCAAGGAGGAACGGTCTAGAGCGAGGTGTCTTGTGGATATGTCTGTGGGGGGACTGTCTTGATTACATTAATTCATGTGAGAAGACCCAACCTGAAAGTGAAGGGTGCCATTCCCTGGGTCTGGGTCCTGGGCTGTATAAAAAGGAGAAAGTGAGCTGAGCACTGCCAGGCATGCATGCGTGCATATGCATATTCATATTCTCTCTCTCATTTTATTTAAATTTTATGTGTATGAGTGTTTTGCCTACATGTATGTAAGTGCACCCATGTCATGCAGTGCCCTTGAAGGTCAGAAGAGGGTGTCGGATCCCCTGGAACTGGAGTCACAGACTGTGAGCCACCATGTGGGTGCTGGGAATCAAACCTGGGTCCTCTGCAAGAGCAGCCACTGCTCTTAACCTCTGAGTTATCTCTCCAGCCCCTATCACAGTACCTTTACCTAATCAGAGGTCACCTGATTGCTTGGCAGTGTCAACCCCTGCTCCCATCCTGAACCTGTTAAACGTCACAACTGCATCCTTGTCCACTAGAGGGCACTGTAGGAGCTTGTATTCTCTGAGCCTCCAACCTCGCAGCCTCTCCTTGCCCACTGTTCCGGCTCTTCTAAGACTGCAGCCCAGCCCTCAGCCCAAAGCCCAAAGCCCCAGTGCAGGGGTGGGACCCTGCAGTCATACTAACCAGGACTGAGCCCTGATGTCATCTCAAATATCACCACAGCCTTGCCCCATGCAGGATCAGAGGCGCAGGTTGCTGGCCACCCCTGCCCACCCAGCCTGGAGGCCTGTGCTGAGCCCCACCACTACCCTCCCTCAAGGCTCACCATCCCGGTGCTCGTGAGGCAGCCAGTGGTGCTGGGCATCGCCGTGCTCGAAGTATAGGTCCCATTGCCGGCACTGCTCCTCACGGAAGTCGGCCAGAGAGTCAGGACAGTCCTGGGGGTTGCAGAGCTGGAAGTCGTAGGCGAGGCCTGAGCAGGTGCGGCCCCCGTTGGCTGGGCTGGAGGAGAAAGCAAAGGTTCCCCCTTCTTGGTGCCACTAGAAAGAGGCTAGCCTGTGGGTGGCGTTTTTAGGGAGATCCTTGAGTCTCAGGTATAGAGGGGATACCTCTGAGTAAACGGACACAGTCCTACGGTAGCTCAGCTATAGAACCTGGGTGACCTCCAGCCAGCGAGGCCTGGGAAATCAAGACTAGAAGGAGCTGGTACGAACCGGGACACCTCTGACACCTCCACAGGTGGAGCATCTTCCTCCCACCTCCACACCGCACCCCACCCCAACTCCACCCCTGGCATGATGACCAGGACTGCTAATGAACCCGGAGCTATGACTGGATGTTAGGATTCTGCTGGCCCCACTGGATCACAAACCGCAGGATGTTAAGAGCTGGCTGAATCGCCTTTACAACCAGGCCCTTGGCACACAGAGCTGAACCTGACACACAGTGGGGAACTCCCAGAGCAATTCTGAAATCCTGGAATTCCACACTGCGGGAGTCCCCAGCAAGTGTCTGGGGAAAAGCTGGGCCTCTCTACCTCAGAAGATCCGGGTCATGCTCTATGTCTTCATCACTTCACAGAGAACGGTTCCAACTCACCAGGGGCCTTCTGTGGTTCTAGCTCCCTGCTTTCCTCTTTTCCAAAAGCAAGTGTAAAAGCCCCCAGGGGTGCACAAGGGGCCCCAGCATTCCACCTTCCTGCCCAGTGCTTAGGCAGGAGGTTATCCTGGAGCCCTAAGCAGAAGGCAGATCTAGAGAAGAAAGGATTCCATGCACAGATATGACCAGACACAGGCCCAGGCTATCTCCCTCCTTGATTCCTGCTGGGCTGATGTAGCCTTGATCCCTCACCCCACAGCTGGGACTGCTGACCTCTATGGCTCCCTAGTGGCCAGTATCCGACCTGGCAGAGACAGTGCAACTACCTCAGTGAATGGAAAATGGGAGCTCCTTCAGTGGCCAGAGACCAGGTGCCAAGGGACCTGTGCACCAGTCCTCACCAGGCCCACTGTGGAGACTGGAAATCTGCTTACAGTTTTATGTGATAGTCAGGATTCACAACATTTTTAGGTAAAACACCAGATGAGCCAACTCAAGACACAAATGACCCCAATGCATGTGAGCAGTGATAGGGTCTGCAGGGTGGAAGGAGGGGAGGGGCTGAGGCGGGAAGTGTGGTACAGGGGTACAGGTGGCAGGTCCTGACTCTGTCTCTCAGCTGACTATGAAATGATTGTGTGGCTGTGGTGGCCTCTGCCTAGGCATCCAGCATCCTGGAGAGTTAGTTCCCTTTCTACAGAACTCTCCATTTTCTTAACTCCGTCCCATCTTCTCTCCTCCATGCCCCAGCCCATGGAGGGCAGAGGAAGCCTGTGTCCAGAGTGGATTGTAGGGATCAGGAGCTGAGGTTTCCAGGCTTCAGTGGGCTGTGAGCCAGGGAAGGCACCCTCCCCCACAACCTCAGCTTCCTCCCAGAGAGAAGAAAAGCCTGGGCTGCTTGGCTTGCCGTCTCTCTGAAACCAACATGCTGTAGTCCCCAGACTCTGCAGAACAGGATTCCTGGACCTCAGCTGCCACCCAGGAAGGCTGGGGGAGGTCGGGTGAACTCACTGTGGGTTGTCACACTGGCGGGTCCTGAACTTCACACCTGTGCCGCAGGTGCGTGAGCAGGAGCCGAATGGAGTCCAGGCACCCCAGTTACCATCTCGTTTGAGGATGTCGGGTGTCAGCCAGATGCAGTGTCCTTTAAAGCAATGCTGAAAGACAGGGAGGCGTTCTCTGGACCCACCACCCACACAAGGTTGCAGGAGAGCCCCACACTCCCCAGCCTGTAGTGTCTGTGACACCTGCCATTTGGACACAGGGGATCAGACCTTCCTCTGCCCTAAAGCTCAAAGCACACCAAGAAGATAGGCCAGTGGCATTAAGGGGAACTGAGTGATATAGGTCCACCCAGGCCCACCCTTGTCCTGGCCTTTACCATCCTTCAGGGCCTTGTCCAGTCTACTCTGAACTCACAATCAGAGCCTGCTGCACATTACATCCACAGAATAAAGGTCCCTGTGTGTGTGAACAACAGTGCCACTGGAACAAGATGTCAGTGATTCCAGAGAGAGATGTAAAGAAAGAAAGCCCAGTAAAAATGAGGGGAAAGACCATGGTGTGTGAGAAACACAACTCTCCAGCATATATCCTGCTGGTCTTACTCTTCCCCAGGGAGGAGGCACATACAGCCTGAGGAGCCCATGGTGAAAAGATTTCAACATTTAAAACAGTAAACTGGTATTTCAGTGTATCATAATGTAATAAGTGGACTGCTGATTTAGAATAAGAAAGCACATTATCCCCAATACATCCCATCCCTGGTCTACCCAGAGGGAGAGACAGAAAAGAGAGCTCCGTAGCTCTCTAAGGAGACTGACTTCCTAACAGAGCACGGGCAAAGTTCATGTCAAAAAAAACAGAGAGCCAGCAAGATGGCTCAGTAGTAAAGGCATTTGCTGCCCTGCCTGATGACTTCAGTTCAAGCTCCAGGATCCACACAGTTGGGGGAGGACCTGTGGGTTGTCCTCTGACTTCCACTTGTGTGCTGCAATACACGTGTGCCCCTTTCCACATAATAAACAAACAAACA